GCCCCCGGGGGGGGGGGGGCACAGCTGCCCTGTTGCACTTGCCAAAATCCCGAATCCCAAACGGACGACCACAATGGGGGATGGGAGAAACAAGGACTGGTGGTGTAAGGTCCCTTAGTTCAGCACCCTCAGAACAGTCACTGATCAAGAGGTCGGTAAGCGAGGACTTCCTTGCATCTTGCTGAACCAGAGGCTCACCAGGAAGGGTGGGAGGGGGGCAGTGGGGCCGTCTCCCATCCGAGCAGGATTGACCCAGCTGAGCTTTCCGAGGAGGGAGGCGAGCGGGGGGTCCTTCAACACCCCCCACCCACCCTTCCTGTGCCCACGGCTGTGGTTGGGCTTTGCATGGGGGGCGGGGTGAAGGCCCATGGGGAGAACTGCAATCGGGGCTTCCTATCCAAACGGCAGCTCAGAGGGGAATCTGGACATGCCCCTGTTTCTTCCGGGAGGGTCACTGCTTGGTCACTAAGATTTTCCACTGGGAAAACATTCACTCTTCTGCCCGTTTACCTGGCAGCAGAACAGGATTAAACCCAGGTAGATTTTCTAGAATCGCAGCAAAAAGAGCTCAGAGGCGGTCTGGCCTCTTCCACTCGTCCTCCTGGGCAGCAATGACCCTTGGAGCCGGCCCGAGAGGACCTCCTGCCCTCTGCCCACAGTGACCGCTCCCCCCCCCTTCTCTTCTGCTGATGAAGCACCAAGCAGATGCTGCTGGACGTCATCCAGTCGCAGCCCGGAGACTCCCTGGACGAGATCCTGCACTCGAAGGCCTCGGAAGCGGAGGTGGGTGGAGCGATGGGCAGGGGAACCGGTTGCCCAGAAGGGGCGCGATGCCCTTCCTGGGGGCCCCTGGATGGAGGCTGGCTGGGTCTGCCCGGGGGCTTCGCTCCGGATCCCTGCAGGGGAAGTGGGCGTGGAGGGCTCCTTCCCCTCCTGCAGAAGCTCTGAGCCGTTGGGAGGATTTCTGGGACCGGAAGAGAGTAAAAGGCCGTCTTCCTTCGCATCTCCTGTGGTGGGGAATGGTCTTCTCCCCCCCTCCCCCCCAGGACAGCTGGATCCAACCACTGTTGGCCTTCGGGAGGCCAGTAAAAGATCAGCTCCGGGGCCGGAATGAGGAGAGCTGCCTTGTGGGATCTCCTGGTTGGGCCTTCATGTTCGGCTTGTAGCTGAATTGGTGGTCTTACAACCGGCCACTTGGCGACCAGCCGAAGCTGCAACCTCCTTTTCCGCAGGAGCGGCTCCACCGGCAGCTCTTGCAGAGAAGGGCCACTGGCCACCCGCAGGGCCCAGAGGGGTCACCGCACGGCCATCTTTCCCTGGCGGAGAAGAAGAAGAATGTCCTCCGGAACCTGGAGCGCCTGGCGTTGGTGGGCTCGGCCGGCCAGCCCCGGGCCCTGCTCAGCGAGATTGCCCAGGTGATTGCCCAGGCGGCAGAGAAGGTGCCCTGCGGGGGGAGGATGGGTGGGCCACCCCTGGCCTCTCTCACTCTCTGGCCTACCTGGCGGGGCTGTTGTGCATCCTGGCTATAAACGGTCGCTGTAAAATGGAAGGAGAAAGATGGCAGAGAAACCGGGGAAGGGCCGGAGGGAGGCGCCTTTAGCTCAGGGGGCTCCTCCACTCCGGCCACTTTAAGCAGAGCTGGGAGTTGGAGTCCAGAAAGTCGCCAAGGCGGAGGAGAGCCGGCCGCATCCTTCTCTTGCCAAGTGGGAGCGCCTGCGGTCTTCTGGGAGTTGCAGCCCACTCACGTCAAAGTTGCCGAGATTGGGAACAACAGGGCTCCAGCCGAGGGAGGGGGGCCAATTCAGCGCATTGCCGGGTGCATTGGGCCGCTCTCCGCTTCCCGCAGGATATCCGCTCTCAGAGGCTTCACCGGCAGAGCCGCAGGGGGCAGCTGGCCAAGCTGCAGCAGACCCTGCGAGGCCTGGCCTCCAAGCGCCGCTTCTACCAGGAGCAGGTGGACTACTACCAGAAGTATCTCCGCACCTGCCTGGACAACCTGGCCTCTGCAGACAGGTATGGGGGCGTGGCCGGCTGTGGCCGGGTCCAGATTGGGAGCAGTTCTGGGGGCCTCGGGCTTCCTTGCCCGAAAAGGAAGCTGCTAATCTCTTATGGGGCAGCTTCTCCTTTGACCAAGTGGGGTTCTGGCTGCCCCCCATGGCCTCAGCCCTCCTTGGTAGGGAAAGTGCAACACACACACACCCAACTCACCTTTTGCAACTTTTCAGGGCAGCCACTAAAAGAACATTGCAGATGCTCCCCCCACCCGAAAGGCCTTGCAATACTGGCCCCCTTTCCCTTCCCCAAGCAGAGCCCCCTCCCCTGGCATTCCTTGACTGGCAGCTGTGCCCAGGCCCACCATGGGAAGGCTGGCAGAGCCCAGCAGGAGCCCAGTGGGGCTCCGGAACTACTCTGCTGCTTCCCTGCCGACCACACGGGGGCCAGAAGGAACGCCAATGTGGGGGCAGGCGTTCCCCCCCCCCCCCCCCCCCCCCCCCCCCCC